GTGGAGCGACTCCGGCTTGGGAGCGGCTTGGGATCTTGGGCAAAGTACTGAGAGCCTGGCTGAGCGCCTCTGGACTCTGCTGCTGCCCACATTGAGCTGGTGACTCCGCCAGTTCGAAGTGGTGGTCCCGGCGACCCATTTCTTTGCTTATTTGGGGACCTAAAGTAGTGGTGTGCAGTTACCTGCACTTGGGGGTTTCAGAGACCGCACTTCAGAGGCGATTTTTTAAGTTGACAAGAGTTTAGTTGATTGTAGTGAATGTTTAGGACTTTTAAGGCACGCTTGTTTTATAGTGAGGCTTGTTCATTTGATGGTATTTGGGCATAACTAGAAAGGCATAAAGTAATATCAGGAAAGTGAGGTCATTTTTTTTTTTAACTTCGAGAATTGCCCTAAAATCTAGGGAACAATGTTAGGAGGTAAAACACTGGCGATATACTTAAAAAACAAAACCACTTTCTATCCCTACCAATCAGATGGTCAAGTGAAAAAGTGGTTAGATCGAGCGACTTACCTGGGCGCGCTTTCATCCTTTCGTGGATGCCCAACGAACTCAACTGATGAACTAAACAGCCTAGTCCAGAACTGTTATTTGCAGCAGTTAATTAAACCCTTAAACTTATGGGACAGTTTGGTGAAACTTTCAAGAGTATGAATCTAGATTGGTAATCGAAAATTTTCATTGACATTATCATAGATATGAAATAGAAATTTTGTCAAGTTTTGGTTGTGTTAGTTTTTTTTTAAAAGATCTAATATTATGACGATGCATTTTTATAACGAACAAATAATTAAGATTTCAATTGTATGACAATTAGAAGCCATTGTGATTCAAAAGGACTGCGGCATTCATAAACTGTGAATGAAGATGAAAACAACGATAAGGCATTCAGTGATTGGACACAGCCCTGTAGCTTTTTGGCTGACACATTTTTTATTGTTTATATTTTGTTTGGCATCTGAGTATGATTAACTTAGATATGGCTATTTTAAGCACGTAAACGCGCACTTTAATTTAACAAAACTGGAAAAATGGGGTCGTCGAGTTATTTGTATTTTAACAGCTATGAATGATAGTAGCCCATGAATATGATGAAATTGCCTCAGGTATAAAAAAATTGCCTGTGGTTGTAAAAGTTACTTTTATTTATTCATCGGCAGGCTTTTCCCCTTCTTTCTGATAAACCATAACCATTCCTATTATTTCTACATTGTGATCAAAGGAAGCAGATTAAAGTAAGAGCTTCCTTCACAAAATGAGGCCTGACTGGTTCTCACCTGGGAAGGACTGGGTAATTGTGTGTGTCTCTGTATTTGTATTTCCAAAACTCTTGCTTTTGGGAAACTGCTAGCAATTGCATTATATTTTTAATGTCCCCTAAATAAGCATGGAAAAGTCACCAGCTCCATCTGAATTTATCTGTGTTAAAACAACTATTTCAGAATATTGACACATGAAATGTTTGGAACATAGACTGCGCAATCATCCAACTATCGCATTGCTATTCAAGGACACATACTTCCCAACATTAATTCAGGATGATGACTATATATTCCGTCTTATTTTAGCAGTATAAATCTGGGTTGATGCATTACTGCTGTTTTTGGGAACTGAAGGCCTATGCCGGAGAAGGAGTTATGGTTTTAGAGTTCCCAACTATTAATGACTTTATGACTTTGTAGGTAATTTAAGGTATTGCCGAAGTGAGAGTGCTCACACGGAAGTGTTACTTTTGTATCAGATGAGTAGTTTAGTTTTATGTTACGGGAGCCTGATAGCTGCTCACACCTGTTTTGAGGCATGCAGATACAAAGTAAACTACATTGTTAATTTGTTAGAAACTCTAAGAAGTATCCCAATTGTTACAGTGACACATTTAGGTTCTTTAAAAAAAAAAAATCTTAATCTAAAAGACCTTACCATTAAACTTGATATAGCTACCTGGTGTGGTATATTATCACTATGTCTGCATTTGTCGGCTAGTATGAGTAAAAGGAAAGTTAAGAAACATCTATCCGTTTTAATATTTTGTTTTATCTGCATATAAGCCTTTACTATAACATTCAGTTACATTAAAATGATGTTTTCTTCCATTGTCATTCAAGTTCTTCCAGCATTTTCTTTTCAGGGTTTATTGTTGTGTAGTGATGAGGCTCCAAGAACACACAGTATTTACTCTTCCATGGCTATGTTGGACCAATTTCCCAATCCTTTCATGAAATCATTGTTTCCGTGAAGAAGAATAAATAAATCTAGTTAAATTAGATTTTTATATTTATATTTGAAAATTTAACTTGTCTATTTTATCAATTTAGTTCTACTCGAGAAAGTTTTATAAGGAAAAGTGCCTCACTGAATGTCTGTATATTTGAAAGAAAATTCTGAGAGTGAGCTTTATCTTAGTAGAGAGACTTTAAATGCTAAATCACGTCTATGCTTTGATTTAAAAATAATTTTGATAGTTTCTTAGTGTAATTGTGGCAATCTATGAGGACATTTGAATGCCTTAATCCTGTTTATTTTTTTCTACATGAGGACAGCTATGTTCCACATTCTTGTCATTTAAAATTATTAAGAATATATTACAATACAGCTTTAGGAAGCAGTCCCACTTGGGAGATGACATTTAGACATGAAATGCAAAAGTATATGTGGCACATTGCTTGTCTGCACTTATTATCATTTTGGGACAATGTGTCTTCTTATCAAGTAAGCATCCTACTTAAAGTTGAATCTGCAAATATGAATGCGCCAAAAGCTATTAAGGCAATTTGGTGGACTGAGAAAGTTCGCCACTTCTGTTTCTCAATAAAGAAAAGTTATGTTTTCAAACAATATTTGCTGTCAGTGACAGCAAACTCAAGACAACACTTTTTTTTGTTGTTTTTGTTTTTTGTCAACTGGCTAAGAGTTTCCAAATTCAACTTCAAATTAGCATCTTGGTGGTGTAATGCAATTATCTAAAATTAAAATTTGTTAGATAATAGGTGACGTTTATTGTCAAGTATTAAATCCCCAAATTATTTGATCGAAAGTTACGTTTGATGTCCTTCTAAGAAAATGAAATGTCACTGAACATAGTATTTAAGTATCTGAGTACTTCAGTGTTCCTGGGTTGCTTAATAGCTATTAAATAATGTGCATTTTAGAAAGTGTGGTCAGGGTAAAAGGAGCGGGACAAAGCACTCTTACCCATCCCCTGCATCATCAAGGTTTTCATTTACAGAAGTGTAGATGCATTTTTAAAATTATATCAGTAAATCGCAGTAAAAGTCAGATCCTAGGAAGTGAGTTCATAAAGCGCATTGAAGTCCATATCTCCTTGAGCAGACAGGCGTTCTTTTTGCATGTATTTTGAGGGGAGGGGATAAACAAAGTTTTTACAGTTCCAGTGGGAGCTGAAAGCATGGCATCAGACAGTGTATGGAGCTAGGGAGGTCTTATCATGGGCTGTGGTTGCTGTGAGCAGAGCTGCCTTCCCACACAAAGGACAGATTGTGGTTTAACTCTTTCCATGGCCTCCTTTAATGTGCTCACATAGTACCCGAATTGTTCAAATCTCTGCTGGAAAGTACTGATCGGTTTAATTTCCTCCATGGCATTTGGCTATGCCTCATGCTGCGATGTAATCAGCTGCATTCTGCATTCTAAAATTTGGATGCATTCTTAGTCGGCAATATGTCAGAGCACGTGATAACCGTGCTATCGATTAGGGGAGCCGTGTACCTGTTCTGGCTCTGGAGGCAAACTCTTAATAGGTTGCAGTCTTCTGCACTCAAACTTTGAATTTCATCTTAAAAAGACTTTCACGGAGACATGGAATTCGGGGGCGGCTTCTTTGTTGGCGTGTCACGAGTTTACCTTGATCACCTTTATCGTATGAAATTAGTCATTCTACTAGACTATTCATGTGCTTCAGAGTAACTCACATGAATGAGTGCATTCCGGCTTGGGATGTAACCTATTGGAGAAACTTCTTTTGTGGTTAGGATGACAGAACAGTCCAAATGACCAGAAAAATGGTCGTAGTGGGGTTCTCCTTTGCGTCAGTGCTTGGCGTATTGCATTTATATATTGTTCATGCGTGGGATACTGTTCTTTTTCTCTGAACAGCAATGGGTCTGAGCTTCTATGGCCAGCTTTACCTAAGCCAGGAAGCAGGGAAACACTGACTCCACTTGAAAGTAACCAGAAATATTTCTAGGTAGGGATGACCCGCCCGCCTGATAGCCGCCTCCCTTTAAAATGTTCTGATAAAACAGACAGAAAAAAATTCAGGCCTGCAAGGTAAACCGTTTAATTCGCAGGACAGTTGAGAGCTGCACGGCCGAAGTGCTTATGGGCTTTCAGGCACATGCCTGTGTGTGCCTGTAGACCTGTCCCATGTTCCGTCTGTGTGACACATGCATTGTGGAGATTCCACAAAAGCAGTAAATGACCAGGCTATGCTCCTGGTGTCACTGTGCCACAGCATGCAGAGAAACAAAGGACGGAAAGTTGGTGCCAAGTTGCCATTTCTCATTGTTCATCTCAGATTGATTTTTAAGGGGTCTGAATAATTGTCATACTCCTGTGATTGGTTAACAAATTAAGCGACTCTGGGGGGCTTCAGGGTCCGTAGGAAGATTGTGGCAGGAACATCATGCCATTTCGTTTTCAAATTTAAGAACTATTTAAAAATGAAAGTGTGTGTGTGTGTGTGTGTGTGTGTGTGCACGTGCGCGCGCACACACACGCATGTGTGCATGCGCATGTGCTGGAAGCTAATGTTGGTGGTGCAGGGAGAGAATGCGCTGTTCAAAGTATGGGAAGCTTGCGTTCAGGACACTGATAGACGAGCTGTGTCCTTTGCCCTTGCCCTCACTGTCTACCGGTTTCTCTCGTTACCACTCTTGGAATGGTGCTGCTCCAGTGTAGGAATGTTGGATGTTTGATAAGAAAATGGATCAAGTTTAATGGCGCATGCTCTTTGTGCCACCAGCAGCCTCTTGCTGAGAGCATGCTCCACAAGCGGGAACTGTGTGGCATCGCAGTGAGCCTCTACATGCTTTGTGTTTCTGTGGCACCGGGAAGAGAAATGAGCTGTGGCATCGCTCCTGCCTTCTGAGAAGCTCTGCTCCGATTTAAAAAAAAAAACAAAAAAAAAAAACCAAAAAACAAAAGCAAAAAACAAAAAAAATCCCACTGTGTTCCTTGTGAAATGGTACTGCTTAGTGCTAGTTGGTCCATCAAATATTTAAATATTAAATTTGGTGCCAAGCACCTTATTTTAAAGCATGTAGGTGTGTGACTTTGAGGTGGGAATGAGGGGGATGGGACCAGAGCGAAAATACAAAATAAAATCATATTTTCTCTGTAGAAGGGAGAACCAGCTTGTGAATTTTGGTTGAGAGGGGACATTTTCTTCTTGTCCTGATGTCTTGTTCATTTTAAAGTAGAAAATAATATTATTTTTTAAAATAACTTTTTGTGCTGAATTGGGAGTGGATTGCGTCTTTTGTTTTTTTTTTGTTTTTTTTTTTTTTTAGCATTGGGAATTAAACTGTGCACCCCTTCTTTCCCTTCTTCTGCAGGATGAATTCCACCCATTCATTGAGGCGCTTCTTCCACATGTCCGCGCAATCGCCTATACTTGGTTCAACCTGCAGGCTCGGAAACGCAAGTACTTTAAAAAGCATGAGAAACGGATGTCCAAGGATGAGGAGAGGGCCGTCAAGGATGAGCTGCTCAGTGAGAAGCCCGAAATCAAACAGAAGTGGGCATCCAGGCTCCTGGCCAAACTGCGCAAGGACATCCGCCAGGAGTACCGGGAGGACTTTGTGCTCACCGTGACTGGCAAGAAGCACCCGTGCTGTGTCTTATCCAATCCTGACCAGAAGGGTAAGATTAGGAGGATCGACTGCCTGCGACAGGCAGACAAAGTCTGGCGTCTGGATCTGGTCATGGTGATCCTGTTCAAAGGCATCCCTTTGGAGAGTACGGATGGCGAACGGCTCATGAAGTCCCCACACTGCACAAACCCAGCACTTTGTGTCCAGCCACACCATATCACAGTATCAGTTAAGGAACTTGACTTGTTTTTGGCATACTACGTGCAGGAGCAAGGTAGGAGCACATTGTTCTTTCTTTCAAACACTACCCATCCACCTCCAGATACGGGATCTCTAGCTCGGGCTAGAGCGTTCTGGAGGCCTCCAGATATCCTCCGCCCTCTCCAGATACCGTGGTGTGCCCCGTTGTCCTCCGTGTCCATAGTCATGTCAGAGCCATGAAAGTGGACATGGTACTTCCCTACCTGGGTAGGCTTCTGCATTTGAAGAAAGACTAGAGGACAAACAGGCCCAGAGTAGTCTAAGAAAGACAGTTTATTGCACTCCACTTTCTGGACCAGGCTGCATCTCCTCCCCGCTTCTGAAAATTCAACTTTACTGATGGTAGTCGAAGCAGTGTTTAGTAATCTTTGTACTAGTCTCTTACCTAATGAGGTAGATGAACTTTGTTCAGAAATCTCGTGGTGGTTTTACCAAAAATCAAATTAGCACTTACTATCACAGAGTGTCTAAGCTGGTCGCTATGAAAATATCTATCTGGCAGAGGCCTAGGTTTATGTCATTTTAATATTTCTATCAACAGCTCCTTTTGATTGTGCACTGTTCACTGTAGGTTGAATGCAGCACAGTTCTGATTTAAATAATTTATAATACTTTCCCAGAGTGACTTGGGAACACTTTCTATTATTAGTTTACTTGAATGCAAATTCATAGTTTTTCCCAAGGAAGAAGCCACAGCTTTCTTTACAGAGCAAACCAGAAAGGAGACTGGTTACACTGGTTCAGAATAAATCTCGAAAGAATGCAGAGCCCGCATACCGGACCGTGTTTAAAGCCCTCGGTGAAGAGCCCTGCTAATGTTGCCTGGACAGTGCAAAATAGGCAGTGCTCCTGCCAAGGATTCGGAGTTAACGAGATCTCTTTCTTTGCTGTTTCTGTTTTTCTTAAGTAGGTGAGACTTTTGACTTTTTTTTTTTCCCCCCCAATCAGTATGTCAGGACACAGCCCACATAGGAAAAGTCCCTTTAAGAAAACATCGTCCCGAAAGTGGCCTCAAGTTTGGGCTGCCACAGATGGTGGGTCATTTCCGAACTTGGCCTGGTGGGAGGGAAGGTGGCCTGCAGATAGCCAGGTGGCAGACAGTTATCCGATGCTCATTATATAAATGCGGGCTTTAATAAATTGCTCTGTACTTTATTGTCATCCAGAAAAGTGGAATAAGAAAATTGCTCATGACTCAGACAGAACTCCAGTACTCACTGTGTGTCCTTTGTTTTTATTTCCCCTTGACTTAGCTCTAGAGCTATACTTGAGTGTCATTTCAGGATTTTTTTTTTTTTTACTTTGATTTTAAACAACAGTGTTGGACAACGTCGTTTGGAAATGTATTTCCTAACAAACCGCCACGTTTGCTCTTTCCCTGTCCTAAGAACTCACATTCAAGTAATGATGGGCGGGAAAACATAGTTTTCATCCTTGGTGTCTTAAAATGAGAGCTCATTAGCGCACGCCCACTTGATGGACAGCTGTCTGAGAGGTGACATTTCAAGGCGGGCTTTGTGTCCGTGTTAGGTTGACTGTGTTGTGACTGTTAGGAAGTCACTGGTTAGAAGGAAAAGTTTTGCAAAGTGGGTCATGGAGCTCTCTAGTCGGGAGGGAAGATCCGTACCATGCTTCTGCTTTAACTCTTGATGGTTAGTCGACAGGACTTATGTGCAGATTTACTCTGGGGCAGAGAGCCAAATCTCTTAGTTTTGTTGACAGTAGATATTGTCTTTTAGATTTGGGAAGATAGATTGAAAAAAGAAAAAAAAAGAGACAGAAAACCATATGTATGTATTTTACATATATATATTACTAGTGGCCATGCTAACCATGAAGTTTTGAGCCAAGTCTTAGAGACTATATTTTCAGGTACAATGTTGGTTTCGTTGTTTGATGACTTCCCCAATCTGAAAACCTTTGGGAATTTTCCCTGTGTGTCTTATCATCTGTCCTCTCTGCCACCTGCCCTTGCATCCTCCTCTCTTAACACTTGGTGGCCCTTCTTAAAAAGTCACATCAGGGTGCTTTTGTGTTTTCTCTTTTTCAAAATTTATGTCTTTTTATTTGTGAACTATGGGTTGATTGTCATTTTGCATTGTAGTTGATTAAAAAAGTGGGTTTTAAAATAGAAGGTTGTGGACACCCGGAGTGCTTCATCTTACAGCCTAACTTTTTATTTCTCTTCTAAGTACACAGAACATACTTATGTCATTTTAAATATTAGATAAAGTATAAAGAAAAACATGAAAGAAAAATTAAAAGAGAAAGCTGTTTATAACAGAATGAGCAACACAATTACCCCCCTTTCCTCCTTATAAAGGACTGGGGAAAACACGAGGAAGAATAGAGAGAATGCCAAAGATGGTTGCCACTGGCACCAGGATTGGCACCAGACCCTCTTTGTTTAGCTCAGGGTGCCTGTGATTTGTTAGTTGGCATCCGCATTGCAGTGTGGAGTGATGTTACAATATATTGACAATTTCCAGATCTAGAAATGTCAATAGTCCTCTTGGCTATTTTCAGATCACATACTTTGTCTCTAATGGAAGATGAAATAAAGATGGATGGATAATAAACTTCCTTTGTTGACCAACTTCCCAGGGCTTTCCTTTCTCCCTTCCTCATTTGGTTCAACCCACACTTTCCCCCTACTCCATCCCTAGCAACCTCATCTTTTCTGAAATGTGGACAGAGTTACTGGAGCTTTGACAAACTATAGTGCTACATCTGCATCTGATACAGTGTTGGGGGGGAACTTGTATCATTTCTGATATGTAGTTTATTAGGCTTTTGCATCACAGGGCAGTATTTTGTTCAAAGCTCAGTGTCTTTGTTACTCAGCTTCTTCCCTGCATATAGCCTGATGGACCGCAATTCAGTCCATTTTATTCTTTCTTTATCTTAGCAGAGGGTCATATTAAATAGAGTTATTTATAAAATTATATGCCCCCCCCCATTTTAGCAAAAATTTGGTAAATGGTTTGGGAGTAACTATATTTAAGTCCATAAAATCATCTGATGCTATTGATTCAGAGGGCTGCGCTTCGGCTGTTCCGTTGCTACAAGAACCGCCATTTTGTTTGTGAAGTGCCAGGCGAGGGGGAAAAAAAAAGGCAGACACTGTGTTTGATGCCAATAATGGTTGCCAGTGGCACCGAGGTTGGCATCAGACCCTCTTTGTCTAGCTGCTGAATGCCTTTGATTCGTTGGTTGGCACCCGCATTGCAGTGGGCACACTGGAAAGTTTTTGACAATCCCTGAATGGAAGCTGCTTGCTCGTCTGCTGCAGCAAAGCTTAGCTAATAGAAAACCCTTCCCTTTTTTTTTTCTTTGAGGCTTAAAAAAAGATTGTAACAGATTAAGGAAAAATAGTTCTAAAATGGGCTCCATATTCCCGAAGATATTAAAGATGTCCAATGATTCTTGGGCAGGTGGTACCTATTCCCCATATTGCCTTTGTTATTGCATTCATCACAACAAAGCAAAGCAAAACAAGATGAAAAGCAGCAAGCCTTGTGCAGCGCACCTTCTCAGGACACACCAGCCTGAAAATACAGGGTATGCTACGACAAGTAGGTGGGAGCATGCTCAGTGTAGCGATGGGTAAGCACACCCATTATGACTGACTGTTGCTTTCATTTACATTCCTATTGATTTCTCGTTCAATTTCTACTTCTCTCAATTTCTACACTTCTTTTTTTAGTAGTCTGTTAAGAGGTCCTTCCATCTCTCTCTAGCTAGTAATGTATACAGTGAACATGTGAGAAACAGAAACCTTAATGAGGGAGCTACATGTCAAAATCAGTCGTTCTTGACCTCAATTTTGCACCAAGATGTTGTCAAATTCTTAGTGCACAATTCCACACTCTCTGGGTGAATGAGTGGGGAGGCAGATAATAACCAAAAAAAAGGCTAAAATAATTTTGATTCCGGTTTCCTTGATAGCGTTAATATTGCTTCCCAGTTAACCACCATTATCTCATTAATTAATAAGAAGGATTAGCAGTTCTACCCAAAGGGTTACACAGAAGAAGTGTGGCCTATGGGAGGCCCTGAGTTGCCAGACTGTGTCCTGTCTGGAGTCAGGAGATTCAGGGATGCTGGTGGGGGGCGTGTAAGGGGGTGTCAGGAGGAAGCAAGGACTGGGCTTTCTGTGAGGCACCGAGGGGTTTAAAGAGAAGAGAGGTCACAACACAGAGCTTACAGATCTCCAGAGATAGTGTCTGCTGTTAGGAATTTAACAGATGGGAGTTTAAAGAGAGCCAGCCCAAGCGAGTTTCGGACCCTACTTTCCACTCTTGTTAGACATGTTTTTGGAGTGTGGCAGAGCCCAGCAGTCTTGCCTCTATCCCGAACAAGTAACTAACTTCCTTTAGCCTTGTTGAACCCTTAACATTAATTGTGATCCATTGTTGGATGGCAACTTTTGCTGCTTGATTGTTAAACGATATCATAATTGAAGTGTATTTGGAAGTTGCGAAAGACGTGACTTGTTTGGAGGGGAAGTTGTAATCATTATTGTCTTTGAAACAGAGCCCTTCCTGCTTGTCACATGGCATTAGTGAGGACACACTTGCAGAGCGATTTTCCTCCTTCAGCTACTGCAGCTCAGAAGCCTTCTGGGTAGCAATTATTTCTTTATGAAAAGCTTAAATAGATCATTGTTTGCAAGTTGACAGCATTTTTTTTTAACATTTTAATAATTTTCACTTCATTTGCAGGTATTTCCCATTGTGGGGGCAAACAAGCTTTCATAGCTGGCTGAAATGACGCCGCTCCGTGAGCTAATTTGGTGGGCTTTCATTGTGACATCAGAGAGCATGAAGTGTGTGTGGATCCATGTTTGATTTAGGAAATGGCTGTTAAATTTTCCCATCCTGGTACCCTGTCCTTGACTGAACTTCTGAACTCTGGGACACATTTGTTTGCATTCTTCCTCATACACAATTCACAAGATAAAGAAGGGCTCTTATTGGTATGTCTTGCCCCTAGACTTAATGAGACCTTTGTTAGAACATATATTGTAAGATTAGATACTTAGCAATTTTCCCACCGATAAGGGACAAAACGGGATCTAAGGGGCCAGGAGTCCACCCTCTCTGCCTTGGTGTCCCTGCCACAAAGATAGCTTTGCCAGACAACTCAGGAGCTAAGCTCTGAGGCCCTGGCTGCCAGCTGGAAAGGGGGCATTT